ATGAAGAAAGTAACACAAGGAACCAAATAGACTTCATCCTTGTCAACCACAGATACAGAAACAGTTTTACTAGTGTGAAAACATACCCAGGGGCAGATATTCATTCAGATCACAACCCAGTAGTTGGAGAATACAGAATAAAACTAAAGAAAATCAGAAGAAAAAACACGAGAAGATACAAACTGAGAATACTCAAAGACAAGGAAATCAAAGAAAAAGCCAAGAAAATAATAAACGACCAGATCAACCTGTTGATAGAGAAGGACAGCAACACTGAAGAAACAATACAAACCATCAATAGGACAGTAGAAAACATCAAAGAAGAACTCCTGAAACCAAGCGACGCCAAGAACAAAACATGGATGACCAATGAAATTCTAAAATTAATGGAAGAGAGAAGAAAGCACAAAAATAATAACCCAGTATACAAGCAGATACAACGAGAACTGCAGAGGAAAATCAGGGAGGCCAAACAAAAAGAACTAGAAGAAAAATGCCAAGAAATCGAAGACCTACAAAGAAAATATGACGAGTTCAACGTACACAAAAAAGTGCGAGAGATAACAGGAAAACATAAGAAAAAAGTAGTGGGCAAGCTTCTCAACGATAAAGGAGAATTAATTATTGACCGAAGGAAAATCCAAGAAACGTGGAAAAAATATATTGAAGACCTGTTCTATGACGAAAGAGTAGATCCACCAAGCGTAGAAACAGAAACTGGACCAGAAATAATACCGGTAGAAGTAAAAGCGGCAATATTTGAAACACGAGATGGAAAAGCCGCGGGACCAGACGGGATCCAATCGGAATTTCTCAAACTACTCGACGAAGACTCAATAAAATTCTTATGTAAAATCTTCAACAACATATACAACACTGGAAATATACCAAGAGAATGGCTGTTGTCGGAGTTCGTCATGCTTCCAAAGAAACAAGGTGCCAAAAAATGCGAAGACTATAGAGGCATAAGCCTCATGAGCCATCTACTAAAAATCTTCCTAAAGATCATCCACAAAAGAATATACAAAATATGCGAAGAACGGATATCAGACACGCAGTTTGGTTTCATGAAAGGAGTCGGAACGAGAGATGCGCTATTTAGTATACAAGTCCTGTTTCAGAGGTGCCGAGACGTGAACTGTGATATATTTGCCTGTTTTATAGATTACGAGAAGGCATTCGACAAAATTCAACACGAAAAAATGATGCAAATACTGAAAGACACTGGAATAGATGGCAAAAATCTCAGAATAATTAGAAACCTATACTGGAACCAGTCAGCATCCATTAGATTGAACTCGGAAGAATGCACAGACGAAGTAAATATCCGGAGGGGAGTACGACAGGGTTGCATCCTGTCACCACTCATTTTCAACTTATATTCAGAGGAAATCTTTAATGAAGCACTAGAAGGAGAAGAACATGGAATCCTGGTAAACGGAGAACGCCTGAATAATATCAGATATGCAGATGACACGGTCGTATTTGCTGACAACATCATCAGCATGCAGCGGCTCATAGACAAAATAAGTGAAGCGAGTGAAAGATATGGGCTGAAAGTAAACATCAATAAAACCAAATTTATGATAATAAGCAAGAATACGAACACGCGAGGCCAACTTTTCATTAGAAACATACCAATACAACGGGTATCAGAATTCACATACCTAGGCACAGTAGTCAATGAACAGTGGGACCACTCACAGGAAATTAAAGTTAGAATCGAAAAGGCAAGAAGTGCATTCAAAAGTATGGACAAACTCTTTAAGAGCCACAATCTAAACCTAGAAATAAAAATCAGACTCCTCCGATGCTACATTCTGTCCATACTATACTATGGGGTAGAGTCGTGGACATTAACAAAAGCGACCGAAAAACGACTAGAAGCGTTCGAAATGTGGCTATACCGACGCATCTTGAAAATACCATGGGTTGATAAAGTATCAAACAGAGCGGTACTAGAAAGAATAGAGAAACAAAAAGAAATAATGAACACAATAAAAAGAAGAAAGCTTGAATATCTAGGCCATATAATGAGGAATGAAGGAAAATACCACCTCCTAATCTCCATCCTTCAAGGGAAAGTCTTTGGCAAAAGAGGACCCGGAAGACGAAGAATCTCATGGCTGAAAAATCTCAGAACTTGGTTCACTACAACAACGAAAAATCTATTCAGAGCAGCGGCAAACAAAATAATAATAGCCAGGATGATTGCCAATATTCGAAACGAATAGGCACCTTAAGAAGAAGACTTGATGGGTTCGGGTCGACTTGGATTTCCAAAAATATATTTAATACTATAATATCTAGATTTCATTCAAATAAATTTATATTTTAAATTGACCTAGTCATACACTACAAACTACCGGTAAAATGGAATAAATAGTCTTTTCTTTTAATAATTTCTAAGTATACATAATATATGGAATGTTCAAGTATTTGTGTGTTTATTTATACATATAAATGATGGTTGTAGAGAATAAGTCATTATATTAAATAAGTCTTCATTTGTGTTAAACTTTTTACTACCTTACTAATTACATCTAAAATTATTATATTTTATCGTCGTGTATAAAACAATATTTTTTCCATAGCGAGTTATGTTTTAAAAAATATTCAAAAATTATTATTTCAAGGAATTTATAACGAGTAGAAAAAATATTGTGCTGGGTTGTCGTCGGTTTCTAAGTAATTTGACAAATAAATTAAGCTGTCTCTTTAGTTGTCAGTTTGGAGTCAATATTTTTTAATTCTCTTTCGTGTCGATTGCTGATTGAATTGGAGCCAGAAATGGCTCAAACCCAAATAAGTAAATTACCAACAGATATTCAGGCTAAGGCGACAAACGCCATATCCAAACTACTTCCATTTAAATCCTGAATAACTTATGAAAAGGAATACAAAAATTTTCAAAAATGGAAGCAATTAAAAAACGTGCGAGAAGAAATAAAGTTTTTAACCTATCCTCGCTGTTAAAGTATCATTTAATCTACCTTTGCGGTTAAACTTTGAATAAGAAGACTAAGGAAGGAGCATATCAAAAATCTTAGGTCCACCGCGATGGGCCTCAAATATGGCCGACTTAAATTCCGGTTTATGAGTGCCGTTCTAATTTTATTTAAAAAATGTAAAACTATGATGTAGGGTAGACGTCGGGTAGACTCAATAATTTGTTAGTTTATTTTACGTTGTGAATAAATGTTGGTAGTTAGGATATAAAATTCTAATAAAAATAGTTATAAGTTGTAATAATTATTTATAACCATAAACATCCGATACGCTACTGAAGCAGGTAAGTCAAATTGACGTATCTAAATTCTTTGACATCTAATCTTTGACAAGTAGTAAATAAAAGCAAAAATGCAAGAAAAAATATATAATTAGTTAATTTAAGTGAATTTCATAAATGATCGGTTTACTACACGTATGTAGTGATGTGAGCATGGTCATTTAACATGGTCACGTAACAGTCATAATGAAAATGACCGTCACGTCATTATGCAATGTGACGTTAAAATGACAAAACGGTCATTTTACAGTCAAATATTAAAATGACCACAGCCATTTTCATTATGACTGTCATTTTGATTCAATCAATTAAAAAAAAATAAAGCTCCGGTTCTTTGGACGCCAATAAGTTGGTCCCAACACACAAACTTATCGGTAAGTTAAATTAAAAACCTTGTTAGCATCAATAGCAGTCTACAACAAAACATTGTTTCTTCGAGCTGCAGAAGAGCTGCAAGGGAGTGTCAATGCAATGCTACCACCTTCACATCAGGAACCATTATCAGAAGCTGGTCCTTCTACCTCAGCAGGAGCATCGACAATAATCCTCCATAGTAGCAGCGAGGATTGGTCAAGTGAGTCTACCGATGAAGAAATTGAAATGTGGTCGGAGTCGGACAATAAAGTTGAAACGGATGAGACTCAGGATGACGAGAGCGAAAACGAACTTAGTTAATTAATTTTTTTTTCAGTAATGTTTTGAGTTTCTTTTTAATGTTTATTTGCTCATAATTGTACATATAACGTTATTTTTAAGCGCTGTTTTTACTTGTTTTGAGTTTATTTTCAATGTTTATTTGTTATTTGCCATGAATGTTTTTTTCTTACTTAGTCTACATAATATATTATAATAATTAGAAGAATAAAGTTTTTTTGTCATTACTTTGTTTAAAACTTTATTAAATGTTCGTTTTAAACGTATTTTAGAATTTTATAGTGTGAATTAGCGAGTAAAAGCAAAATGACCCAAAATGACACATTATGACCGTTAAATGACCGTCATATGTCACGAATTATAAATGACGGTCATTTTACATCACTTCACGTATGTATATTATATAGTCACTTACTAGCGAAAAGTTGTTTCATTATTTCACTCGATTTTTGCCGAGATCTACCGCACGCTACACAACCAACAATTTTAGAGTCTTTTTCGATAAATCGCGATAGTGTCACTGTTAATTTAAGTTCTGCCACAATTTCCATCTAGATTTACTACCTTTATACAACTATCAGTAGTAGAATAAATAATAAATAACATAAAATAAGCTCCGTAAAGACTGACAAATCCACAAAATTTCAAATCAAATTCAAATGTGTCAAATGAATCGTCAAACAGAACTGTCAAGGATCCCCACCCTAGAGTGCTTTTTCCGCCCACCATGCATGAATGCATGGATATCATTATGCTCCTTCCTTAGTCTTCTTATTCAAAGCGGTTAAAGTACTATTTTTGATAGATACCTATAAGGCAATTTTAACAGTTGCTATGGAAGAAAGGAACAAACTTCTAGGCTAATTAAAAACACTAATTTATTCCATTAATTGCGAGGCTCTGAATGAAGCTTAAGACAAAAATACTGTGCGATCAAATATTTAAAGCGTATGTAATTTACAATAAAAATGAAAACACAATCTTTCACGAGATAATATTTTGGAAAGATAATCAATTTAACACTTTTTGTTGCTAGATTTTAACCCACTGGTTTAAAAATATCTTTTCTTATCATTATATTTTTATTTGTGCGTTTTTTATACATATAACAACTCATTCTCTACAACCACTTTATTATGCATGTACTGAATAGTTAATTAAGTCATGCCAGCAGGATTGCTCGAGCTGAAAAAAATACAATTTTGGAATGTCTTAGGATAGATACACGTAGACTATCCCCGAAAAAATAAAAAAATACATATATTTCTACATTTTGACACGTATAAATCTTTAATCTTAGTACATTTAATAGGCGCAGAGTCACAACCAAAAACAAAACAACATCGCAGAGCCTACAAATAGGCGTACATTTCCTTAGAAGTCTCACTCTCGATCAAGAACTTCTTTCGTAAAATTAGTTAAGTATATCGAGTTAACTAAGAAAAAAATAGTTAACCGTTTGTATAATATACATACACGTATAGGCTCGTAAGTTCTGAAGTTAGGCCCGTCTTCAGATTTCTTCGTCTAGCGTCATTTTAACTAATTCACTACACGGTTTTCTGGAAAAGTCTCTAAATTTTGTTGGTACATACTGTTGTTGTTGGCCTCTTCTGTCGATTCTACTTCTATGTTGCTATCGCTTTCCGCATCTTGGAATCTAGAAATAAAAACAAATTATAAAAATAACAAAAAAAAAAAAAAAAAATAAAAAAAAATTAAATTATTAAAATCAAATTAAAAATAATCATACACAGAGTTTGAAGCTTTTTGGTTTTACCTTATTAAGTAATTGTTAATTTTGAAGTTTACCTTGATATAAAGTCACTTCAACAGAACGTCAATGGTTTTTGTAGACGTATCTGTTAAAAAAAAAAGTGTTCTGGAATAGTTGTATTTAAGTATCTTAAATAGTTTTTTTCATTATTTTTTGTATTTTTTTTTGCTTCCGACGACGGAAAGAGACACTTTCCTAAACGTTAAGCATATTTATCAAAATAGTAAACGGAAGTTTTGATTATACGTTTGTCAACAATTATGTGTGTATCTATTTCTAGCTATTTAAATTTTTAAAGCGATTACATTAAAGTAAATGTATTAATATACATATACAGGGTGGTCCGAACTGTATTCCGGAAACTTCGGCAGCATATTCTGCAGATAGAAATAAGTAAAAAAGTTCGTATAAATGTTTGTTCTAAAATGCTTAGTTTCGGAGATACTGGGTGTACATGTTTCATTTTTATTTCGATTTTTCCCCCATAGTTTTTGAAGTAACGACAATATTTGAATAAAAATTTGTATCTGGGAGTTTTTTGTCTATTATGTGTAGGGGGCGCCGCATACATGTGTTTTAACTGTTTTGAAGAGTAATAACTTTTTGTCCGTACCTGTATAAAAATAATGGGTGAAAAAATATACATTTTCGTGATTTTCTACCTAAAAAAGTCTCGTTGTAAAAATAGCAACCGTTTTCAAGATATTATACTGAATGACAGAATGGCCATAATAATTCGCAACAACGTACCCCATGGCAGAAGACCTACTGGACGACCACCTAAACGTTGGCAAGACAGTTGGCAGTCAACCTCGCAAGAGTTGCTTAGACGAGGAGGAAACCGGAACTAAACAGACGATACGCCTTCCAAAAGAAGAAGAAGAAGAAGAAGAAGATACTGAATACATGTCATTATTGACAAAAAATAAACATGCTCACTAGATAGTTATTTGATTGAAATGACTGGGAACTTTCTAATTATTTAAATTAGTCATAAATTTTTCTTCGAAAAAATGACGATAAAACAGTTTCTGTTGAACTTTTAGCACCAAAACATTTCAAATTTATTTCAGTCTAATAACTATCTAGTCAACATGTTTAATTTATGTCAATGATGACATAAATATGATGATAATTTAGATTCCAAATATACCCAGAGCCATTACTCGAAGCGATTTTTACCAAGAAACCTTTTTTTACGTAAAAAAAGACGTAAGTAAATTTAAATTTTTTTACTCATTAGTTTTATACAGGTTCGAACAAAAAATTAATAATCTTCAAACCAATTAAAATAAATATAGTTAAAATAAATGTATATAATAAACGAATGTTTGGGAGTGATTCATCGCTTGATGAAGTTAGAATCGACACGCGCGCTATAATTTTTACATTAAAAACGTAAATTTTTACCGCAGACGTAGGTTTTTAAAGGTCCGGTCTAATCATTTGCCTGCGCTCCTCCTACTTATTCTAAAATGTTACCATGATTGACAAAGACGATACTATATCGCGTTTCTTTGATTGATTCGTTTTTGTGTGTCAGTCCATTGGTGTGCTTGCAGTGCGACCAATGGGGCATTCCAGTTTATATTTATAACCAAAAATATATGTTTTGACAAGACTTTGACAGTTATAACAACAAATTAGAACAGATTATATATTGATTATTATATGACTTGAAACACCACGGCACTGGAATTAAGTTTTATGTGACCTTGAACAGATTAGTTCACATGGTAGCGACCGATGCGTCACTCCCAAACATTCGTGGCGTTTACTATAGTCATATTGACCAGGGGGGTGACAGTGAAATAGGAAAATTGGAAACAGTCATTAGTGTCATTCCTGTCATTCTCCTCACGACAAGTATGGCCGCCGAGACAAGGACAGCAATGTTTCTGTCTAACTATTGTCTAACTTCACAGTGTTTAGAATTGACAGAATTCAGTTTCAGAGACAACTTCAGATTTGTTCTAGGAACAATTAGAAAATATTCGACGCCATATTAATTCATTCCGTTTAGTTTCGTTTTGGAAGTTCAATTTAATATTTCGGCTGAAATTTATAAATATAAAGGTAATAAAGTATATAAAATATATATTACATGAAGAATCCCGGAGAAAATGACGTTTCTGCAGTAGTAGGTATGTCCCATGTATATGAAAAATAGGTAGTAAATAAACACGGTTTTTACATTTTTTAGATGCAAGAAAATGGTGTTATAATCTCTTTGATCGGCGATTTTTTTGAAAATGGAAACAATTTACAGCAAGGTAAGATCATTTTTAACTATAGCCAACATTTAGCATTTATTGTCAATAATGCAATAAATCGGACTGATGAATCTGATTATGTTATTCGACTAAAAGTCTCTTTTTGCTTCTTTTTGATTTATAAGCCAGGTCTCTTTGGGAATAATGGACGCTTTTTTAAACAGTATATTTATATTTTATACCTATTGATATTTTTACATTGTTAATTTTAGTATAAAAAAATTTGTTTTTCTGTTTTCAGGTTTTTGTATAAGGCTCCCGTTTTCATGTTCCTGTGTCCGTTTTCTGTCCTTGAAGTCTGCGAATACGTGTGTTTATTTACAAATTACTGTAAGTCATGCTTATACCTTAACTAATTATTTACGTTAAAAGTGCATATAATTAACTAATTGGTATTGAAGCAATACAATCCTCTATATTTTTATATTTATTTAGTCACGTTGTTCCATATTTCAAATAAATATATGTGAATAAATTATTTTTTGGTTTTATTTATGAAAAAGAAAAAATACAAAATACATTTGAACTGAAAGAGGGCCCGCCATTGAATAACCGGAAACGGAAATGAAATTGAAGCCATCATGTCCTTATCATGTCAACCTGTCAATTGGAAAATTAGTTCTCCAGACGACAATGAAGGCTTTCGGTGGCGTATCGTGTTTCCACGATTTAACACAGAGTTGACACTTCTTTCTAGTTAATTATTTTATGATATTGACATTGAAATTAATTTTCGCATGTTAGAAAACCCTAACCAAATTAAGTTCAGAAATTATTAGGAAAAAATCGAAATACAAATGAAACTTCTACACCCTGTATCTCCGAAACGAGGTATTTTAAGACATAAGTTTATACGAAATTTTTTACTTATTTTTATATGCCGAATAAGCCAGAATACAGTTCGGACCGCCCTGTATTATGGGAAAAAATATATTTCTTTTATTCATTATTTTCTATTAATAAGACCAAATTTAAACTAATGTTGTCATTCGACTCATCAGTTCCACAGCAATTTTTTTTATTATTCAACTTTTTGTTGTTTTTTTCATATCAATTACACAGGTAATTATAATTTCCTGTATGACATAACAATAAATCGATGATTTACGCTACTGCAAAAAACAAACATTCGTCAAATACAGTGTAAAGTGCGAATTTGCAACAAATCCCACAATAAAATGAGCGATATTCGTTTAATTGCCCTTTGTAGATTAAGCGGCACAAAATATATTTAGTTATAAAGGCCCTAAAGACCGTTTATTGCTCATAAAATGGATCAATTACGACTGGATGGCTAATAAAAATTAGCCTTCTATATCGCGTAATATACTACACATATACTTCGATATGGCTTTGGAATTAGACAGTAATTGCTTTATTGCATCAAGAAAATAGCCATTATTTATTATTTTATTAAACAAAAATTAGTACCAAATTTTTGTTACAAAAATATACCTGGTGGCCCACTCCTATAACTTTTTTATTTTTTTAGATAAAAAAAATAAAGATATGGTATTCACGATCCTGCTCAAATCACTCAATGTAAGAAGCTCAATTTTAGCATACAGGTTGAATCTAGGGTGTAAAGGTTCGACAAGAAGGGATTTTTCAAAATTCCAGTTCCAAGGGGGTGAAACCACCCCTCAAATATTACAATATTTTTTATTTAAAAAAACGGTGAAGTTTCCGAAAAAACGCTTAAACACGTATATTTTATTTTGTTTTTTTTACATATTTTAAGATTTTTTAAAAATGTATACAGGGTGTTTCGAAAAATCTGCTTATTGATTAATCACGATACTGCTTAAAGCGCTTGACGTAAAAAGCTGATTTTTTGAAAACGGATTGACTTTAGGGTGTAGAGGTTCGATAAGAAGGGATTTTTCGAAACTCGAATTCTAAGGGGGTGAAACGCCCCTCAAATATTAAAATATTTGTTATTTAAAAAACGGTTAGTCTTTCCGGAAAACGCTTGGACACGCATAATTTATTTTGTTTTTATACATATTTTGAAATTTTTTAAAAAATCATACAGGGTGTTCCAAAAAGTTGGGTTATTGATTAACCACGATTCTGCTTAAACTGCTTGACGTAAAAAGCTTATTTTCGGCAAACGGATTTTTCGAAAGTCAAATTACAACGAGATGAAACTACCTCTCAAATATTATTAAGTTATATAATAATATCGCCATGCTGACATAAATGTGAGAAAATTTTATCCAGTTTGTATGTTAATGGAAATTCTTGCTTTGCTTTATCATCACCAGTACAAATGATTAATTCGACGCGAACGAAGTCCCGGGTACACGCTATTTATGTATATGACATAAATCAGGATTGACACATATACACATGGTATATGTCTAGAAATCTTGTCTTAAGAAAAACTCTATCATACGTTTTAAGAATATTTCAATTTATTTAGCTTTAATAGTGTTTCACTCACTTAAAACTGTTATAGAATTATACAAGGTGTGTCTTAAATAAGTGCAAATATTTTCAGGGCTTGTAGATCTCTATAAAAGAAACATATTTTTTCTTTACCGTTTATCAAATTCTAAAAGTCTAAAATAACCGAATTATTTTACTTTGAAAATTTCCAAAAAAAATGATTTTTTGCTTGAATTTTGAGAATCACTGGGTCTTTTCTGGGTTCTCTTTCTTGTAAATTTAATCTACCATATGATCGAAAAAAAACGGCGTCAGCCATGGCTATGAAATGAACATCATTTTATATGTAAAATTATATGGGGAACGTCATCGATCGTCATTTCCAAGCCAACTGGACGCCGTTTTTTTTCGATCATACGGTACTACCTAAAACACTCGTGTGTTGCCATATTATTAAAAAATTCTGTTTTTTAACTAAAATCTAAAAAAAAATTCCAAAATTCTTTATAAAAAAAATCAAAATTACAATCGTGTTTCTGGGGTCGAAATATACTACCCGTAAAATATTTACACTTATTTAAGACTCATCCTGTATAGAAAGGTGATTAACTTACGTGTAGTGTTTTTCTTCACCTCTCATCTCGCATATGACATTCGTTAGTGCCATTATGTAATTTTTTGCTAACGTGAGGGTTTCTATTTTGGATAACTTCCTCTCCATTTTTATGTGTGGGATAACTTCTCTGAGTTGCTGCAAAAGTAAGGAAAAATTAAGGCTGTACTTAAACTGCCGTTAAACGGTAGCTTACTAAAATGCCGTTAATAGGTATGACGTCGTTGATGTGACGCATTTGAGGGCTTTATGAAATATAGGAATTTTATAAGGATTAACCAACGCTATCCACCCCACCAAATAACCAACTTAACCAACGCAACTAACCTCGACACTGATAAAAAAATATAAAAAACAAATATAAATTAGTAAAAACCAATCAACCCCACCAAATAAACAACCAACCAATGAATTAACACCCTCCAAATAATTACGCTAACCAACCCGCCAAATAACTAAACCAATCCAACCAAAAAGAGTGAAAACAATGCAATAAGATATATAAAAAAGTCTTGGTCGGCGTGAGATTTGAACCGCGGACCATTCGCTCACGAAGCCATGGAGCCACAGGTGCTCTTGCAAAATGCTTATAGGCAGGCATTACTTACCGCCGACATGAACGACGTCACATATCTATTAACGGCATTTTAGTAGGCTACCGTTTAACGGCTGTTTAAGTACATCGAAAAATTAATCAATATCATATAAATATAGCTACAGAATTTTATTTAAATAGTTAGTTATTAATAGACCAAGGGTGACAGTAGGACGATAATGCCCGTAGAGCATTAACACGAATGACATTATTGTATACTAATGCCTAAGTACATTACTTTGTTGGCATTGTCGTATACCAATGCCTAATATGTTTGTTTACGCATTTAGTATCTTAAGAATAATGCTGAAATAATGATATACTAAAAAATAAGAAGAAATTTATATTTCTCTTGTTTTATTATTTATTTACTTTATTTTTAAGTCGTTCTTCTCCAATTTATTTTCCCTTATAAATATAAATACATATTATACCAGGTGCGTCTCAAAAGTGGCTCAGCTCTGTAACTTTTTTATTTTTACATATAAAAAAACTACATTTAGTATGTTAGTATATGATATAAATTAGTATTGACTGAGTATTGAATTGTTTTTGGTCACTTCCTGTTTCACCGGAAATGACACTTCTTCTTCTTATCACGCCCTCTCCTGTCGAAGGTTGGCGATCCAAATGGCAATTGTGGCTCTGGAAACTGCACCCCGGAAGATTTCCCCAGACGAACGTTCAAACCATCTCCTTAAATCTTTTAGCCATGAGTTCTGGCGTCTTCCTACTGATCTTTTCCCTTGCACTTTGTTATGAGTTTTACTTTCCTCTATTATGAGGCGCAGTATTTCGTATCTACCACCTCTCACCACATGACCCAGGTATTGCATTTTTCTTTCCTTGATGGTGTTCAGTATCTCTTTTTGTTTCAACATGCGCTGGAGTACTTCATCGTTGGTGATCCGTTGTACCCATGAGATTCACAGCACCCGTCTGTACACATAGGAAATGACACTTTGAATAGAATACCATATCATATGTCAATTTTTGACATTTTTGCTTAAAAAATTTTTTAATCAAGGAGCCTTGGAAAAATAGATTTGATCGTCTAAAGTTTTTCGTGTCTTGTCCTGGCTGGTTAAAAGATGCCCAAATTATATTTTTAATCATATATCACCTTTTTCAAATGGGGCAAGGGTGGCTCATTAGCATATTTGAAAAAAACGATTTTTTACGAATAATTTGGTACCACACACTTGGTATTTCGAGTCAAATTGTCGTTATGAACGTCATGTTACTATTTCAAATAAACCATATCCGAAAATGTCAAAAGTTGACATACGATATGTAGTTCTACTCAGAATGTCAGTTTCTGTCAAATAAAGTACAAAAATACCGCGGGTGCCGTTTAAAAATCAAAACTAGTAGTCATTTCCGGTGAAACAGGAAGTGCTCGAAAATAATTGAATACGTCAATCAATTCTAATTTATGTCGTATACCAACACACCAAATCTCGTATAATTTTATCTGAAAAATTAAAAAAGTTACAGGGGTGAGCCACTTTTGAGACGCACCCGGTATATACTAACTATTTCAGTCTATTAAAACAGTATTACAGAGTATTACATTTCTTTCTGTTTTCTGTTTTTAAATTAATAGAAACTGATTGATATGTATCATTAATATGCATTAGGTAATCATTAGCAATATTTGTTTGTTTTGTAACACTTGTTTCTGACATATATTACTATATACTCGATACGAGTATTAGTGGATTAGATATCAACAAACTATTTTTAGTATATTCGGGAAATGCTAGTTTCCATATTATATTTTTGATCAGGTAAGATTGACAGGTAAAACGTCGTTATGTGTAGAGTGAGCTTAATAAAATTAATTCAATCAAAAGTTTAGGTATTATACAGATGTGGTACTTATTTCATTTTGCTGATAAAAATGTCGCTATGACTTCGGACCTTTAATAGAGCTACGGCGTTGTCAGACTTCATTTTTTTTCTGAATTGCATTGTTGCCTTTTATAAAAGGTGTATTCCCAATTGAAATAATACTTAATATTTTACAGGGCTTTGTATTCGGTCCCTTTAAATAGGATATTAAAGGGTATCGAATGCCTCCTTGTTTTAATTATGTTTCTCCGTCTTACTCATAAATTTGGGGCCTTACCTCGAACGCATCGTTTAGCGAATGCATTCTCATTCTTTCTCTCTCGTTGCTTTCCAGTCTTCGTAGGTTTCTCTCTCTCGCACTTATGCAGGTTTTCCGCCGTCTGTAAGTGGCTGTCGTGCTGGAGGCACTTCCACTTGAGGCACTTCCTGAAAACCAAAACCCGCTGTTAAATAAATAAATAATTGTCAAAAAAATTTACAATTTGTAGACAAAGGTAAACTACATAAAATACAAACAAAGTAACAAGTAACAAAACAAGTAAACAAACAAAAGAGAATACAAAACAAGTATACAAATTACATTATCAGTCTTATTGTTTAAAATAAACATTTATAAATGTTTACAATGTCAAAGAATAAAAAAATAAAAATAGGATTCAAAAATAGTAATAGCAAATATTAGACCAGTGTTTACAAGATCAAATTCGATTATCAAAATATAAGTCATTTACGGCGTAGAAAGCCTGGTCTAGTTTTGTTAAATAAGATTTCAATGCTTTGCGAAATGAAGAAAATGATGTTATGGATTTGATTTCAAGTGGCAGGTGATTGTGCATTTTTTTCAAGTTGTATAATATTGAACTTTTAACTAACTCTGAGCGTGGGGTAGGTAGATAAAGATTTTGCTCCGCGTTCCTGAGTGGATAAGTGTGAGATGGCCTTTCTTGAGAAGCTGATACATGCTTACGTATTAGGCAAACGGATTCAAATATAAATAAGGAAGGAAAAGTTAATATTTTTAATTTAATAAAAAATCCTCGCAATGAGTTTTGCTGGTTAGTCCCAGTGAATATCGAACAGCTCTCTTCTGGAGCTTAAAAATACGGTCAAATTGAGTCGCACAACACGTACCCCAGAATGGAAGGGCATACCTGAGGTGCGACTCAAAAAGTGCATAATAAACAGTTCTAGCCACTGACAAGTTAAGCTCCTTAGAAACAGATCTTAATGCAAAACAGGCAGAGCTTTATTTTTTCGACAAAGCTTCGATATGCATGTCCTATTTTAGAGAATTGTCTACAACAAGCCCTAAGAATTTTACAGATTTTACGACGTCAATGGTGGTGTTGTTAAGTACAAAAGGCTGCAGCGAGTTTTTATACGACAAAGCTTGAGTTTTAGAAATGTTGAGATTCAGGAGGTTCGAATCGCATCAAGATTTAATGGTGATTAAGTCATTTGATATAATCCTATGAAGTGCCGTGACGTCCTTGTTGCCCCAAGTGAAGCTAGTGTCGTCCGCAAAAAGACATATTTTACCACTGATGTCTATATTAGCAATGTCGTTAATGAAAAGAAGAAATAAAGTAGGGCCTAGTACTGAGCCTTGTGGTATTCCCACAAAATTCCCACAGATACGATTGTTTGAATTGTTTTTCAAAAAAGTCATAGAAATAACATAAAAATAAAATAAAATAATAACGATATACTCTTAATAAATTGATTCCTTTAGTATTCCATTAGAATCTAAAGCATTAATTATTAATTAGTAATCTAAAATGGCAATTAGTACGAAAAACCACAAATCAATTCCTATAAAATAATTCCACGAAATAAAACATATTGCTTTCAGAGCTTATGCTAATCTCTGTCATAATAATCATTATTTCTAATAATTTCAGTAGGAATATAATTAAAATATTTCGTATAAATTAGAGCTGTTTAACCATTATACTCATTAATACCCGGCTGTTGAGAGAATATATTTATACTATCCGATATTCAGGCAATGCTATTTAATTTAAATTAGCTATTATAATGTCATTTAGGGAAATTTTGTCACAATTTAGCTTTTTGTTATTACTGGTTTGTTACGATATGGCGATATACAAAATGTTAAATTGCAATTTCTAGAGACATATTATTTTCGTTGTTATGTTATACAGGGTCGCTTTTATGTATGAAAGCGGTCGATTATTAGGTAAAATATAGGAGGTACCGCAAAAAGTTAAATATAAAAGTCATAGGGTTTATAAATATCTATTAGCGGGTAATAAATTTAAGTATACAGAGTCGGTCATAAAGTCGTGGCACATCAAAGTGTCATTTTTTTAAACGGAACCCCCTGTATATTATTGCATATTTCGGTTCTTCCTTCAATTCTAAGCAAAAATCGTAATACACACAATGTACCTCATACTAACTGTTTCCGAGTTATTGACTTTTGAAAATATGACTTAAACAATTTGATTTAATTAATTTCGATATGCTCAGTTTCATTTATATCCCCCGTATAACATAAGCACCCGTGTGGTTGAACAGCCACCACACAAATCTCGTAGACAGACAGCTGAACAACACCATGCGGCTGATTACAGGGACAATCAGATCAACACCTAGTTACTGGCTTCCAGTTCTGAGAATATTCTTCACTTCTCAATCTCTAGCCTATTATGCCCTTTTTGAGTCACATCTTCGTTATGCCCTTCCATTCTGGGGTACTTGCTGCGCAACAAAATTTGATCGTGTTTTCAGACTTCAAAAGAGAGCAGTTCGATATTTATTGGGACTGAACAGTAGAACTCACTGCCAGAATTTCTTTAAAAATTTGAAAATGCTGACTCTTCCTTCTTTATTCAGTTTTGAATCCGTTTGCTTAATCCGCAAGCACATATCTGCTATTCCCGAAAGGCCATCTCATAACTATCCACTTAGGAATGCAAAGCACGATCTTTATCTGCCAACCCCGAGCTCAGAACTAAAGGTTCAATACTGTACAATGCCAAGAAAATGTACAATCATCTGCCTTTGAATATCAAGTCGCTTTCATTCTTTCCCGCATTTCGCAAAGCTTTAAAATCATACCTACTGGAGAGAGCCCTATATGCGGTAAACGACTTTTTTGTTGATGTTTAATTATGAACAATTTTGAATTTTAAAATTTTGATCATCTCATAGTCTGGTCAAATGTCAAGTATTTAATAATTTATAACTCTAAAATTATATCTATTTACTGCGTACTGTTCTAAAATTGTCCATGTATATTCTTTTTGTAATTTTAAAGACTTAAATTTTTTTGAATTGTATTATTTGTATTGTGTATTTTTTGTGATTTTGTTGTTTGTGAGTGCTTTGTCGATGAAGCTGTTTTGGCTTTTTGTACAATAAAGCGTTGTTTGTTTGTTGTTTGTTTGTATTCTACCTCCAAATCTACGCAGAAACGAGGCTCTTCTTAGAGAATTTGATAAAATAATAGCTACCCCAACGCTCCCTGTTCATGAAACACTTCCTGCTTTACAGGTGACAAGACTGAAGTCGAGAAACCCACCTTTGCGAACAGCTGAACAGCTAAAAAGCAGTAACTACAATTCTCGAGAACAGTGGCTAGAACGATTCGCACCTATACTCCTGGTTCGAAAATAACTATTTCCAGTTACCGTGTACCGTCTAAACCGGAAAACATGGTCAACTTTGAATAGGATACGCTCTGGCCATGGAAGATGTGCGGATTCCCTTTATAAGTGGGGAAAAATACCCTCCCCAGAATGTGATTTCGGATCCCCTCACCAAACCATCCACCACATAACTAGAGAGTGCAACCTACGCGCTTATGGTGAAGTCTGGGGGGACTTTCTGGAGGCGTCTCCAGCAGCTTTGGAATGGATGGGGCATCTAGATGGTCTAGATGTCAATATATAGTGTCCGTAAATACGTTTTTTATGTTGTCTTTTTATCACATACTTGTTTTTTTTTATATTTACATTGTAATGTTTTCGTTTACATTGTAGTTTATTTTATGTCTATGTATAAAATTCTTTTTTTTTTGCATGTATGCATGACAAGACTGAACAAAGACAAGACAGTTAACACGTTGCCAAACGTATGAAATAAACCGAGAAACTGTGCACATCGCTAAGAGACGTGGAAGGGGATATAGCAGATTTGTCGCAGTTGACCGGTCGACCCAATCAATACCTCTGTCAGTACTTAAAGTTCTAGGGAAAGGTGTACGTCATGCGTTCAGCTTCACGATTTAATTACGTCTCGTGATACTTAATTTGTTATGCTTACATGCATAAGATAAATAAAATAAATAAAGGCTTACCTCCATGTTTTCGCCTTTTTTTACCCGACGTTTCGTCACTACTCGATTCGGTGAGATCATCAGCTCTTCCATCCAGATTGTGCTTGCCCAACTCCATCTCCTCCACCTCTACGTCTTCCTCTTCGTCTTGCCACGGCGCTGTCATTTCCAATGATCGCATTCTATAACTTCCGTCCTGGAAAGACAAGAAAAAAAAACTTGTTGTTCATTCACAGTCAGTAAGGTCAAATAGAATTTTACATGGATTAATACCACTAGTTAATAGTTATTTATGGTCTTAGTGTGTTATCTTACATATAAGTCACGCTGGGAAATGTTTATTATTTAGTTAATTTTCTCAAGTGACTTATATGTTATAACACGCGAGTGCAATACAAAATTTTATCGAACAGCAGAACTGTTTCATGTCCCATCTCTAAAGAATAATTGATTTAAAAGAATCTACCAGTTCTACTTTCATTGTTGCCAATTAATAAATTATCAGGGTGCGTTTATGTCACTATGCAATATAGATCTGCGTTTTTTGTAAATAATAAATAGCACTGACATTAAGACGTCATTTAGATAAATCGCGATTTTCTAATGATAAAATAGAGAATTATCAACCAGGAAGTCAGATTTAAAAAAAAATGATTCGGGAAGATCTTCCGCAAGAAATTATTAACCAGGCAGAGGCGGCTACAGCACAAATACTGCCAGAAAAGTCTCGTGGCGTACAGTTCGTCTGCTGGATATGTGTCTATGAAAGGAATGCGGACAAAAAACATTTAAATAAACAACAATATATTTTATACGTCGACTTGACGAGTACGTCACCGCAAATCGCTCCGCCCACTCATTTTATTGGCTACTTGCAAATTTGTCGAATTTTTATTGATGGGACGCGACGTCTAATTTTTTACGAAAAACATGGAGAGAATATCGTTTCCCCTTTCACGGATACCCCATAGCTACAGAACGGATAGACGTACTTTATACTAAGGGCTGGCAAAGGTTAGTCATGGGTCGAAATTTTCGTATGTAAGAAGAGTACAATGCGTTTATAATGTACTGAACAAAGACAAGACAGTAAACACGTTGCCAAACGTATGAAATAAACCGAGAAACTGTGCACATCGCTAATAGACGTGGAAGGGGATATAGCAGATTTGTCGCAGTTGACCGGTCGACCCAATCAATACCTCTGTCAGTACTTAAAGTTCTAGGGAAAGATAAACGTCATGCGTTCAGCTTCACGATTTAATTACGTCTCGTGATACTTAATTTGTTTATTTATTAACGAGTCGTTGTAATTTTCCCTATAGCTTGATTTTTTTTTAAGTGCAACCTAGAAACCATAGAATAACTAACTGAAAGAAATGAAAACTCCTATGTTAAAGCCTGGAAACACGCGCTCGACGCGATCCAAGCGGGCTACTGGCAGAACTAAAAGTTCGCGCCATATTTTTAAATGGACCTTTACTGCCAGTTCATAAGTTTTTTACTTATATTTGGTAATTTCAATCTAGATTATGAACTTATTTGTAACAAAACATTTTACAAAATAAAAGTAATGTATTTTGATACAAATAAATTAATAATCTAGGTTGAAATTATCCCTGAAATTAGAATAAAACACGAAACATTTGTAACTTGATTATTTTATTATAACATTGTTAATAAAATTACATATAACACATTCAACACTATACAAGTATATATAAAAGTTATCAGAATTTATACAATCAGTTATAAGTAATTATAAAAAAGGTTATAAATTATAAATAAATAATTCATTATATAAAAGACATATAGTTACCGTGAATATAATTTGGTATAACTTTAATCTCAACTTTAATGACCTATTCAAATAGAAACATCTTACAATTCACATTATATAATACACAAAGCCAAGGGACAAAATTGTTATTAAATCTATTCTCGATGACTCGAAGCATTTTTTTTTCAAATAAAACAGGACATATAGGGCTTATAAATAATACAAGGGTATAGAAAATATATAAATAAGTAAATACAAATATATTTTCAACCTAATGATTAATGATTATACTCGTTTAAATAAATAAATGATCTTTTTAAAATTACTTGTTTGTCTTTGCAAATTTGTATATTTAATATTTATCTAAAAGCGTACACTTACATAAATTACTGCACAACCTTTAAAATTAAGCTTTTAATATGTTATACAAATTCTTGATTCGAATAAATACACTTAAATAAAACTTTAAAATTAATGATCTTCCAAATTTCTGAGACAGCCATTTTGTTGAAAGAATTTGTTTTGATTATGAGAAATTTCATAAAAATTATCACAGGGATTAATTAATCTTATATATGAAACTACTTGGCTTTTAAATTTCACAATCCTATCGTCCAAAATACTCTAAATTCGCAAAAATCCGTAAATATTCCCATAAAAACAAATCACAATTCACTTCCACTTCACAGAAACTGACAGACATTGCCAGATATGGAATGACGTTTATTTTTCAATTTATTTTACTGATCTAACTGATCCGGGTCACTTAGAAATTAAATTTTTATTAAATTATTTAATTATAATTGTTTCTGGCGAAAGCAACTTCATATCAATGTTTATTCATAGGGTAACAAAGCACATCGCTGTAAAATTATCAACATTTTATATAAATATTTATATTTTTCAACTACTCCAACTACTCCAATTACTCCACAGAGAATCAAACGAATTGTTAATTAAACTATACTCTGTGGATGACTTGATAAAATCATGATGAAATTAAAGTCCCTAGATGAATATCTAGGGACTTTAGATGAAATTTCTACGCAGCGCCATCTATCCCTCTACTGGCAGAAACTCCGCCGTGTTTCCAAAATTCAAATGGCAGTTTCATCCGCCTGCTAGAAACACTTGCATTTTTGGTAAAAATAAATGGAATTGAGTGGGTGTTCGATAGTGGTCGCGCTATTAGAACTCTGAATTCAAAAATCGATATCTCGAAATCTATTAGAAATAATAGATTGTAGCTTTTCAAGAACTTTGTTAATATTTCTGCTGTAAATTTTGTAAATTTGTAGACAGTATGTGAAAAATCTTTATCAATAAAAAAATTACACGATTGCTGAAAATTGCTATGCTCTAAAAGTAAATGGATGGATTGTTTACAATTTTTGAATGGAAAAAACAACCTTATCGAATTTTTCTTATGTAAACATATTGTAAAATATCCGATCTTGAAAATAAAAAAAAGTTTCAATATCTAAAGTGGTTCTTGAGTTATGGCCTGTTATGTGTTAAAAAGTTGAGTTTTTAAATTATCGCGATTACTGACGTTTTCTCGTTATAAAAAAAATGACACTTTAACGATATCCTTATAATTCCATTTCAGATGCTCAGAAACATGTCTAATGATTTTATCTAGTTATCTCTTGAGAAAAAAAGTCTTTTAAAAGTAAGCGGTTAGCGATCGTGATTTTACTTTACTTGATAGGAAAAGGCGTATCGGCAACGCCGCAACAGCACACCGTCGCGCGTCGCGCCTGTCGGTCGCATTTCTCTCACTCCGACTTAATAAGATCCCTATGCGATTTACTTCCACACATGTAAATGCCGACCCAAAAGTAACTGTTGCCAGCACGGTATGATAGAGAATTCATAACACACTAGTTTGTTATAACTTCAAAAACTCACGCGTGTGTGTATATGTAGAGTCTGTCGGATAAAATTAATTTCTATTTAAATGCTCTTCAATATACTGTAGCATTTTATTTAAATCACACATAATTCATATAAATGTACAGAATTATTTTATTTAAATAAATCAAGTTTAAGTCCTCGCACCGAGATGGCATTCTAAGTACTGCTATTGTGTCTTTTATTTTTTTTTCTCCAAGTTTATTTCTGTCGAAATATTTCAGTCCGGTCGAAGTTTGTTGGTCACTTTATATCTGACGGTGCATAGTCACACTTGCCTACCTTCCCTCGCCATATTGGTGGTAAAGGCTCAAACCGATAGAGCTATCGGCGTTTGTTGGCATTTTGCCAATTTGTTTGAGAAAACCCTCTGAGCAGAGGTAAGACTTTTATTTTTAACGTAACGTTTCCTAATACTTTTTTTTGACAGGGTTTTATTTTATGGTACGCATTTGGTTTAATGGTAGCATTTTCTGGTGCCATTTTGTTTTTTGTACCTGACATTTGGGCCACGTTTTGTCCCTACAATTCACACCGGGAATAACGGAGGAATCTCCTGGTTCCACAGCAGTTTAGGATCCTGTCTGTGTAGAGACGTTTTTATCACAATCCAGTTCCAGTAGCAGTTCACCACAACCAGCTTGTGACCAGAACGGATAAAAATAGGCCAGATCATTTCTTTTTATATAATTTAAATTCACTTGAATGTATTAAGCCCTTCAGGCATATTATATATTTGATTACTTTAGAGTCACTTTGAAATATTTTATTCATGTTATGCATATTTCTGATATCTACAGAGTACGCTTTTTTTTAATATAAAGAGTCCCTATATTTTGGTACCAAGATCGCCAGACTTTTTGCGGAATAATTAATAAAATATTAATATTCAGAAGCGTGCAGATTTAACTACCATCTTGAGTGATCTATTTTGATACATACTATTTACCAACAAACATTTTCAAACATCAAATTTTTCATAGTCTTATTTTATTCTAATTAATATTTAATTATTAATTACACTTAGTTATTAGTTTATCCCAGCGTTTCATTTGTGTAATTCCTAAAATAAGTAATACCTATATTCTGAGTTGATTTCTCAGTTCTCAGAGTGGCGCCCAGTATATTATAAAGACGTAAGCATCACAATTTAATTTTCACTAGCTTACGATCCATTGCTCACCGGCGAACAGCTCCGTCGCATAGTATTAGTTGTTTTAATATTTTTTTCCAAAAGAAAATTCTTATAATAAAACATTCCATCTTTTTTTATAACTTCTAATGTTACAATACTGTAGATACTTAGTAGAGTAATAATTATTTTATTTAAGTATATTGCTGACATTTTCTCAGCATTATAGCTAGTTTAGTAAGAAAAGACTTAGATATTAGGAAACACTTCATTTTTTTACTCTGAATTTACCTTTCACTGCTCATTCATGATTTTCGCATAATGCTGTCAAAACATAATTAAATATTAATCAAAATAGTATAGTAAAATT